AAAAAAATATGCTTTCCTTCTCGAGATATTCTAAAAATACTGAAAGTCACGCAAAAAAACCTGTCAAAAAAACTGAGTTTTTCTGCGTGACTTTCAGTATTTTTAGAATATCTCGAGAAGGAAAGCATATTTTTTGAAAAGAAAAAAAACGAACCTGAGACAGGGTTTGAAGCATCTGTGGTAAAATTTTGAGCTCGATCAGACCATTTTATCGAGGGGTCGTAATGTAGCTCGATGGAAACTGGAGTTTTCTAGAAAACCCATAGAAGAACATGTCACAAAATTCTGTGCAAAAATACGTCGATTTTCTTTTTCGATGTTCTATCTCTGTTATAAATTTCACCCCGATCCGATATCGGCGTCTCCGGTTTCCAAGAGAGTCAAAAAAGAGGGGGTATACCCTTAATTTTAATATAACAAATTTAGAAATTCATCTAATATATTAGAAAATCGTCTTGGTTTTTTATTTTCTATAAGCCTGTCCATACACATTAGCAAGTCTAGAAAATGCTTTAATTTTTGAAAAAATAAAACATCGCCACATCGATACTTTTAGAAATTCTCTTCTTTTTTCTTTTAAAAACTTGTTTTCCAGTTCTAACTATTTATTCTAAGGACGATTTAAATTTTCATGCAATTCTCAAACTGTTTCTTTTTGAACATACTCATAATCTTCTTTCTTTTAATTCCACTTTATTCGTCGAGGAAATAAAACTAGTATATTGTTGCAAAACTTAAACTAAAACTCTTTTCCGTTTTAACATTCCGTTTCAGTCCTCAATAAAACTTTTTCTATCAGACACAATGTCAACTAAAATATAAAAAATATTTTCTTTTTTTTCTACAATGATTATTGGCCACAGAATCATCTGAACCAGTTCCGTCGTAGGTAAAAATAAAAAATGACGAAATCAAAAAAAAGAATCACAGAATAGCGAAAAAAGAGTAGACTGAATTTTGTTCGCCTTTTTTCTCTATATTTTTTTCTCTTTCGGTTGCATACACAAACAAATAAAATGACACATCATGTCGCCTTTCACAACCCTTTTTTTATTATTATCATCATTAGAAACATCAGATTTATATAAACTGTTTCTATGAGTAGAACGAACAATAAAAGATTTTAGTTGGGTAAGGTTAACATATGTCAGTTATAAAACACGAACTAAATTAAACTAGATGATTACATTTCTCTGGGTTAATAGATTTGAGTAATTTCTATGACTCATTATTCATCAGACTTTTTGTCGACGTGGCAGAAAGAATGAAAAATATGAATCATCACTTCAAAACTAACCCGAGTAAAATAAGCTTAGTTGAGAAAATAAAAAAAAGTGGAATTGAACAGCTGCGTAAGTTTCTCTCCCTTTATAGAATTTGACACTAAAACTAAAATTCGTATATAAAAAAAAGGTCGTTATAATTTCGAATACCACCAGTAGTGAGTGCATTGGTAGTTTTTTTATTTTTCAAGAAGATGTTGTAGATTCAAAAGATAAAAATAAAAAACTTTCCCGAAGTGATCTTTACTTTTCTGCAATACGACTTTTGAAATAGAGAAGATTTAAGAGAGAAGTGAGTATGACTAGCACTGAAAAATTCGAATAAGAAAAGACTTTATTTTCACAATTTGTTTCAAAACATTATTTATTTTATTATGAAAAAAATTCCCAAATGCTGTATGCTAACAGTTGGTGCTTATTGTTCTATAGAATATACTTAACCACAAAACACGTGTGAGACCTTGAAAAAAAGAGAAAAATCTGTTTAGTAAAAGACGAAAAAAAAAAGACGAACACATTTATCACAAGGTTCTCAAGAGCGAAAATATAAATCAAGAATATCACGCATAGATCAGCTATTCTGTTTTAAAAAAAGAAACAGACATTTTATTTATTTTTAATTTTAAACAATAAGAAAAAACCTTGTGAACTAACTCTACGAAAATGAAGCTGATATGAGAAGATGTCACAGATGTGAATTATGTACGCTCATATTATTGAATATCCATACATTTTGTCATTTTTGTCCCTTTTCAAGGTTGCATTAAAATTTATTCAACACTCTACATCTATTTCATATTTAGCTTTAAATACGGACGTAGATGCATTATTAATATCGTTTTAATCTTTTTTTCCTTAAAACTGTCCTTAACAAATGGTTTTCTTTTCATTGTGGTTTCGTCCTTTTTCTGTAGCGAAGGTCAAAAGTAATGTGTTAAATATAGCAAAAGTATTCATTTTATCTGTATGAAAAAAACAGTCTTTTCTAAAAACATGCTGAGAAAGTTCTCTACATTTAAATATCAGTATTATTTTATATCGAGCTGAATATATTAAAATATGATGGTACGTGGAGGTTACTTCCTTAAACTTCTCGCCGTAAGTTCAACTTTTTATCTTATTCTTGCTACCCTGATGAATGTACTTATGGATAAATAAGTCATGGTTGAGGTTACAAACCTGATCTTTGTTTGAAGTAAAATATTTTTGCACAGTACCTGTTTGTGAACAATACCGTGTTACATATGTACATAAAAAATTTGGAATTAACGAGCAAATTAATGAGATTTTATTTTTTTATTTTGCTGACGTGAAACGGATACACAATTTGTATATTGATTGTTCTATAAACTATATAGGAACTTGTTTGTTGGTACTAGTTAGATATATAACGCGGTATTCTCCACAAATAGGTACTGTCCAAATGCTTTATCTTCAAAATTCGTGACATCTCTCGGAACCAAATGTTTCCGATTCCTTTGAGGAAAAGCTAGCAGTAGAAAAAACTATTAGGTGTGTAATCTTCATCATGAGTCATTCGTAAAAGACCCGTGTATCCGTTGAAAAAAACTCGAAGGTATTTGAAGACGTTATATCCTTCATCTATGCTATTTCTTCAAATCAAGAAAAAAAGAACAGATATAAAGATTGAGTGATCACTAATTGGTTTATTTTGCCCCAATAGCTATTTGTAAATGAGACTCTATCAAAATCATTTCACTTTTCACTTATTCAACTGTGATTGTTGCCTAGTTTATTTAGTATAGTACTTGAAAACATGTTTTTTTTGACAAAAATAGGTTTTCACAAGAATAATGAGTTTTAACATTTTTATTCGCTCATGATTCTTTTTCGTTCTTTGAGAAATAATAAATGAATAAACATACTTATGCCTGTCCTGTTTGTTGAGATATTTGGTGAGGAAACTATATAAATATTGGTAATGCATTGCGCAATACAATATTTGTGCAAAATATTCCTCAGCTGCGCCTATGTCATGTAAGATTTCACCTGTTCCTTTTTTTTCAGTTGTGTCCTCAGTGTCATTTTTTTGGTTACGTTGTCGTTTAAACAAGAATGATGATGAACCCAATTATTTCTGAACTTAATCCAATGGATTTTTCTTTATTCGATGAACACGACATATCCGATGATTTATTTGGTGGATTTGATTTACCAGTAGATGATATTCAAAATACAAAATCATTATCTTATAACGATGTAATCGATTCTTCAGAACAAGAGACAATGATGAAGATGATGGATGAGATGAGCCCTGGTAACAGCCTTTAAAGTTTTCTATTAAATAATTTTTGTAGAAAAACATATTTCGATGTTTTTATTACGGATTCAGAATAAAAATAGTATCTTTATTTTTCTTTTAGAATTCAAATCCGATTTTGAGAAACTATTGGAAGATTTATCATCAACAACTGCCAATGATCCTTTCTATGATTATTCGTCTTCCATCGATACTACATTTTCATATGCCCAAACAAAATGTGATGTTGGAACCGATCCAATGATGTTACCTCAACAATCCGAACAACAAATATCAGTTACTGACGCTAATAGCATGAAACAACTGAACACAATCACTATACCACAATTACCAGCACGGACAACAAAAGTTGTTCATTTAAAACGAGCACCAATTACCAAGAAAGCTAAAGTTGTTCAGATACCATCATCAAATAATGGTAACGTTCGTACTTTTCCTAGTTTTATCCAAATATCGGGTCTGCAGACATCCAAACCAACTATTCTTATTACAACTACACCGCCACAAACAACACAACAAGCAACACTTCCAGCTGGTTGCTATCAACTTCAATTAGAGAGTAATAATACATTACACACAGGCACAATCATTAATGAAGCAACAACACCCACCACTTTAGCAGAAGAATGTGATGCGGACGAATCTGAATGTAAGAGAGACTTTATAGATGTGTAAATTTTACGATAATCAATTTTTTTTCTTTTCAGGTTTCGATGGTGACCTTCCCATGACTCCGTCGACTTCCAGTGAATCAGCTGACGATCGAACAACATCACCTGATACAATGGCGAATGATTGCTCCACCTATGTATCTAGCAATAGTAATCGTCATCATCCCTACTCATCAGTCAAATCATCACCAACAAATAGTTCATTTGTAACTTCAGCAATGCTAACCGATCTTGGAGTAAGTGGATTATTGTCCCTTCGATCACTTCTAATTAAATTCCTTTTTTTATTTTAGAAACTGCCTTCATCTGGCCCATTAATTCTGACCGATGAAGAACTAAAACTAATCAAACAAGAAGGTTATCAAATACCAACGAAATTACCACTAACAAAAACAGAAGAAAAAATATTAAAAAAAATTCGTCGAAAGATAAAAAATAAAATTTCAGCACAAGAAAGTCGTCGTAAGAAAAAAGAATATGTCGATACTTTAGAAAGACAAATAGCAAAATATATGGATGAAAATGGCACTTTAAAAGACAAATTAACAAACATGGAAAAAAATCATCGGTAAGATGAATGTCGATAAGATCAGATAATGCTTAATAATCTCTAATTTCTTCATGTTTAGATCATTATTACAAGAACTACAATCTCTCAGATCAATAGTGGGCAAAGGTTCAACAGCTACAGGAACTGTTTTAATGGTAAGTCTATTTAACGTTGAAGATTTTCTATACTAGATGATCTGAAAATTTAAATAACTACACTTATATTTCTTTCAATCTAGGTGTTAGTTTTATTTTTTGCTGTTCTTTTTGGTATTTGGTCTCCTATTGCAACTAAACAAGAGGATTTTATGCGTTCGTCACCATCAAATGCTCTCTCAGCACCAACGAATCAAGATAGATCTAATAGCAATAGTCTTGTCTCGCGAACTACAACAAAATTATTAGATCGTCAAGACATTAAACAAGAACCATCATCAGCGGCATTTTCACCCTATGCTACGAGTTATAAATCACGTGTTTTATTATCCGTTTTTGATGAACAACAACGACAGGATGATGATAAAAATTATGGTCCATATTTACCAAATAAATATAAATCTAGTTCAAATGTTAAACAGCAACATGCACGAGTTCATACATACTCAAATACGTTAGAGAAATATATGAATAAAAATTTAAAAACAGAAAATGTATTTAAAGATGATAGTGGCATATTGAATCAAGGTATGTAGTTGAATACTTAATCAATGAGACTTGATCATGAAAACACTTAAGATAGAATCCTAGAACAAATTCGCTGAACATATTGATTCTTTTTTTACAGCTATTTTTTTTGGTATTGTGTAAATAAATACTTACTAACACATGTAATTTGATTTGCTTTTAGCCTATCCTAAAATTTGCAATGAAAACTCATCATGTCTAAAACGTCCATTAGCACCGATACATGAGCCATCTGTTGTTTTAACAGATAGTAAAAAAATTAAATTTGATACTGCAGTTCGTCCAAATTATACATCAAATTATCGAATTAATGAAAAAGTTGTTGTTATCGATTTATCTGATCAAATGGATACATTAATTGGTCATAACGGCACTACACTTCATGGTGATGTTAAACCATTAAAAATTATACGTGTTGAACGAACAACACCGTCCAATACAAATGATACATTAAAGAATAATAATATCGTGTAATGTGAGAAAGTTTGATTTCATTTTGTGTTAAATGTTTTGTAATCAAGAAAAACATTTTATTCCTATGTTTGCGTTACACGCCAAAAAACAAATACATATTTATGACGACACATGAGCATTTCGTATGATGCATATGAGTTTGAAACCCGATTATTTATTTGCTCGGAGAGCGAATTACTTAGCTTTTTTTTTGTCGAGCTTTTTTCATTATTTCACAGTGTTTTTCGTTGTTTGTGCTGGGATAAACATATATATATGTTTGAAAATCTCTATTTTCTATCTATTTCATTGTTTACGTACCTATTATCATGTATTTATTACTTATTCTATTTAACAGTTTGCTTATTGTTGTTTATTTTAAACATATTGTTGTTTTGTTTTGTTTTATTTTAGACACTATACATATTTATGTATAATGCTTTTCATTGTACAACCACCAAAGCGAAAGGAATCTTTTGCTGTCTTCATTTACAGGAGGCTATTCGAAAATTTCTCTATATTCTTATAATTGAACGACAACTGTTGTCCTTCTAAAGACTTCATTATAAGCTGAAATTATAAACAAAGTGCGGTTATGAAACATGAATAGCCGGCAGTATTAAATTGTCAAGTGTAAGTATTTTATCCTGTATGAACTCTTCTATATCCAAAAATGTTTTAAGAAAGTAAAGTAGACGAGAGATCTAAATGAAACATCAGTCTCAGAAAAAATCAAAGTATCGTAAAATTCTTTTAGCGCATATATTTCTTGTCTTCCGAAGAGTTTTATCAGTACCCAATCAGTGTTCGAGAATTTATCCACATTAATTTTCTCGCTTTTATTTTATCTATTTAAATACGATATACATCTCTACTATACACTCAAAGAAGTAAAATCTAGCCGCACACATACAAACATACGGACACAACAATAGAATTGATTAAAATATCAAGAAAGTTTCTTTTCTTTTCATAAATGTGAATAATAAAGATCTTCTTGACCCAAAATATATCGCTAGTCGATATTTAGGCCCGCTCTCCACGAATTCTTCTTGCTAACTGAATATCTTTCGGCATAATTGTAACACGTTTAGCATGTATAGCGCATAAATTTGTATCTTCAAATAATGAGACCAAATAGGCTTCCGAAGCTTCCTGTAGAGAGAAAAGAAGAAATGGTGATGAATGAAAAAATTTAATTTTTTTTGATTCCATGTACCTGTAATGCACCAATAGCTGCCGATTGAAAACGTAAATCTGTTTTAAAATCTTGTGCTATTTCACGAACTAAACGTTGAAATGGTAATTTTCTTATCAATAATTCTGTTGATTTCTGATAACGACGTATTTCACGAAGAGCAACTGTTCCTGGACGAAAACGATGAGGTTTTTTAATACCACCCGTCTAAAAATGAGAGAATATAATAGATTACAATAATGATGAGGAAAACAAATGAAGGGTAGTTACATACCGATGGAGCTGATTTTCGAGCAGCTTTGGTTGCCAACTAAAATCATTAAATGAAGTATAAATTAGATCACTCATAGACGAGATGTGAAACGCTGATAGAGACCTGTTTTCTTGGAGCTTTGCCACCAGTTGATTTACGAGCGGTTTGTTTTGTACGTGCCATCTCTCTGTTTGTCGGATAATCAAGTTTTTATGCACTAAATAGAAAAATTCAATTAGAATAGATAAGTCAAAATCAGAGGAAAAAAGTCCTTTACAGTGCACGACTTTTAAAATGAATATGTTGTAACAACTATTGCGAGAAAATCATGCTATAAAAAATCCTATATTGTGGAAAATATCCATCTGTGACATAATGAACCATATAGAAAGAATAAGATCGCCAAAGCAACATCGTTTTTTGCAGATGTTGGCTAAGATACACAAAAGATTACACAAATTTATTAACTAAGTATTTAGAATGTTTTGGAACGACTCACGCTAGATGTCATTTTCCTCAAAATGAGATCTTGTAGACAATTTTATTCTTCTTTACGACAACTCTATTAATTAGCTTGCAGACATAAATTCATTTTAATCTCTGAAAATCATTCAGAATTGACAGTGAATAGACATAAAAACAACTTTAAATAGACGTGGATGGGGGATGCGCATCCTCCCGTTATTTGCTGTCCTGCCTTTATATCAGACTCTTTACAAGAAGTTAGTTTTTTTCATAAGATGTAGAAGCAAAGAATTTTTTTCAAATTCATGCGGTGATAAGAGAGAATTAAAATCAGAAATCTAACCATACCACCGGAACAAAGAAAAGAAAATTGGTTTTGAATTGCTGAAAAGTGTTTTTTCGCATCCAACACATTCGATAACCCCGAAGATTTTCTATTTTTTTGGCGAGGGATACTTCCAAAAGTTCAGATGAAATTTTGAAACAAAATGACGCAAAAAAATTTTTTTTGCAAAAGATTTTTTACACCAAGAACTTGGTGGTTGTTTTCATTTTTTCCAGAATGTAAGCGAGATAGTATACATTGTAAACCGAAACGTGATGGATAGAGAAGAGGTACGGTAGGGAATATAAATGAATTTCTAGAACATTTCACAGGTAAAACAAATTGTATGAAGTATGAACAAGTTGCTAGATACAACTAGATACAAACAAGTGGGTACAACTAGATTGAATTTTATACATTTCGTAGTATTCTGTATTTTTTAGAAGAAAACGTGAAGATAGTCACATAGAACTCTATATGTAGGTTACTCTTGAATTTTATGTTTCATGTATTTTAGATTTTTTAAGTAAAAATTTCTGAAATATAGAATCTGACATCATGAACACTTTCTTTGACTTCACTATGAATATTATATATTAATGTATGTTAAACATTTCAACAAACATGCATCTCATAAAAGCAATTCAAAAAGATTCATTCTATACTGTTCATGTGAATCTTTCTTTGCATACATTTATTACATATTACATGTGAACCCAGTTAAAAAATAAGTGTTATCTTAACTTTGTTTTATTTAAGAAAACATTAGCCGAGAACAAATCGAAAATGACTATACTAAGTTATGTAATAAGCTTCTCAATTTTGTCAAATCTAATTGACATCTATCGTTAATTTAAGATTGTAATTTCTTTGACTGGCCGCCATAGATATTTTTTTTTTGCCTCGTTTGGTCGTCATTCTAACTCATTATAAAAAAAATAAAGTTTTTCTTTTCTTTCGACGACTTTATTTTTCTCTAAGCTTAATGTGTCTATATTGTACCCATAGCTATGAGGTTTCTCTTTTTCTTTCTTAATTCTAAATGAATTTTTTTTTCTTTTCTTCATCGCAGTCTCCCCACGAAGAAAAAATTCCTTTTCTATTATTATATTCATCGTTAGAGTAAGCTTGCGCGAGACTCGCACCCCAAAATCGCTTTAAATCGTTTTAATCGCTGCTTAAAACCACTGCTTAAGCATTTAAAAAGAATTTCTGATATTATTACTCCTGCGAAAATCTCTCGTATAGATAATTTTAATAATGAATGGAAACTAAAAGTCAATCAACACAGGAGTTTGTATAGTACTTAGGCGTAAATACCAGAATCTAGAACTTGTCTAACAACCCAAACACATCTACAGATGTGATCATAAATTTCCGTACTTTGTCAGTGACCTAGGATTTTTTCTTTTAAAGCCAAGCTCGATTTTATTGAAGTGTAAAATGAAAGGTAAATAAGAATGTGTTATTCGGTGATGTAAATGAGAAGGGGCAGACCAATCCTCAGGTTTATATTTACTTACAAATCTTTATTTGGGGATAGATGATGGAAGATAACACTCTGTAACTCTTGTAGCTTTCGAATATTGCTTTTAAAATTTTCTTTTCGAACAAAACGTTCAGGTAAAAAGTTCTAAGAACTTAAAAAAGTGGTTTAGTTTACTTACAATGTGTCTATTGCAATATGATGGAGTTGCTTTCTGTTCTTTTTTCAAAGTAAAAATTGTAGAGCACGTCTATTCGACAATGGGTAATGTGAGAGAATGAGCGTTATTGGTCGCAAACATAGAGTATATATATAGATTGTCTAACTTCTTCTACTTATACCCTTATACTTACTTACTACAGTCGACAACGTGAGTGTAACTATTTAGGAGGCAACGCATTTGGGAGCTGAATCCACGTTTATTTCATTGGCTGTTGTATTTTTTTAAGTCCAATAAGATAATGATGTCAATGCTGGATTTGGAAAGGTCAGATATGTATTTTGAATTTGCGTTGCCGTCGCTATTATTCATGCCGCTGTGTATCCGTTAGACAAGATTACAAGAGAAAGTTCGAGAAAAACAAAAAATAATCAATATTATGGATATAAAGTTAGCTGTAAATTCTTATTTGGCAGCTCTATAGATGCCATTGACATCTGTCACTTATATCCGAATTATGGCGTATGGAAAGGTAAAATGAAAGGAAAGAAAAAAAACCCGTCGACGATAAAGGAAAATATTGGGAAAGTGGAGTGGCGAAGATGGAGAAAAATGAATGACAGGAACCAGAAAATCCAGTTTTAGGAGAACGAAAGAGGAACATTGTTTACCATAATTCTGAAATAGACAAATATGATTAGAAATCACGAAAATAGTGAATAATAGCATATATAACTTCACAGAGATTGTTAGAAGCATTTACACTGAAACAACATAACAAGAAAAAATGCACATACAGAACGAAGAAAACAAAAGAGAAGAAACGAATAAATATATGAAAAACAAATAATAGAAGAAAAAATCCATGTCGCGTATAAGTTATATATCTTAATTATTCTTTTATTTTTAAAGAATAAAATAATTAACAAAAAATAAATGAATCAGTATCAATATTATTGATAACGAAAATAGAAAGAGAACAAACCGCCTACATACGCCATCTATTCAGTTTACTTAAACAAGATGTGTAACAATGACATCTATACACTAAATAAAGTCAGTAGAAATAAACAATTGATTATATTTTATTAAAGGCTGAATGAATTTAGATTTTTTTTGTGAGCATTTTTCTTTTGTAAGAACACAACTTAGTTTTTATTGATTGTTGAAATAAATGTACCTTAGACAACAATTGCACAAGTAACATTCAAAATTGAAAATTCTGTTTTTCCCCAAACTAGATTGAGATTTTAAGAATAGAAGGAAGAGAAACTGTTTACTCCAGTACAATACGCCGTTCGAAGGTAAATGTATCAAACAAGGCCATATTTTTATATAGCAAGGTTGTTATAATCGATAGGAAAAACCTTGATTATACTACTGAAGAATTGTTTGCATTGTGTGCGATTATTTTAATAGCTCACGACCTCTCATATCCAACGTAAATTTTGCAATGCATTATCTCAAATTTTTGTTTTTCATATTCCTCTATACAATGACCTTGAGGCTATATTTTGATTACTCAATATTAGATTAACAGCTAGATACGTACCTCCTACGTTTGTTCTAGTGTTGTCCACAATAAAATGTAATAAAAAGAACTAAATACATCAAGTTTTTTCAAACTGATCATTTAAAGTACGTTTGCTATAAACGGTTTGATTATAAAAAAACTAAAAAACATTGTTATTGATAAATTTTGAGACTATCATAGAAAATGTCTAGAATAACAGCATCCCAGGTCAAAAGATCAGATCAAGATCTTATAAAATCTTACGGAAAATCATAGGAACGGATCCATCTTATAAAATCTTATAAAATTCATACAAGAATCTTACGAAATCTGATGAAATCTTACTATAAGATCTTATATCAAGAATCAGTTTCTATGTTTCTTACCGAATCTTACAAATTCTTATACGAATCTTATGAAATCAGACGGAATCGTACAAGAATCTTATAAGATCTTACAGCAAGATTTTTTGACCTGGAATACTCTATTGTTTTTAAAAAAAAGGATCAAAGGAAAAACGGACGATTATTAAGTAAAGGTATCAATTCCAGTTTAGCCAAGAAACTATAGCTGTTCAAATTTTATTCCAGATTTTGTCCACAGAAAGAGCTGTTATTTAATCAATGCTGAAAATTTGTGAATAGTACATCTGCAAATGGTCTAGTTTCTCAAAGTTACCGTACAAGCGGAATGAATGTATTCAATAGTAAATTTTCATATTGGCACCCCCCTCAAACTATGTCAGTTCGAAGAGGACATCTGATTACATATATCCTTCAGTTTTTTCGATGAACTGATAACTATTTACAGAGTTATTAATTAACTAATTCCAAATTTTAATTAAAATTTCAATTTCAATGGTGGCATAAAATAATTCATTATATTTTATTGGAATGTCCGATCAACATCGCGGTAGAGTTATTTTGGTTGTATATAATCATGTTTGACAATCATGGAATAAGTAGAACGGAATTTCAACAAAAAATTTTGAACAGAAGTTAAATGAATATTAAAGAATTTTGAATTTTAAAATTTTTTAATTAGTAATTTTTTAAAGTTTTTGTCATTACAAAAGAAAAACTATGCCGCTTATTCCACGTAGAATCTCACAGGGAACAACTTTTATTGCAACAGTTTTTATGAGATATGCTTTGCGTAGTTAGAATCCGTTGCAAGGTTTTGGAGTGCGTATTCTTGCAACAAGGGCTTCCGAAACCCCCAGCAGTTATTGTCACAATCAATAAGTTTTAATTATAATATAGTGGCTAGATAGTTCAAAGTGGTCTCTACAATTCTGCGCAAGACCGACCTCTCCATCTGTTGTGGTTCTGAAATGGCAGGCATTTACCCGACGAAACGATAACGAATTACAGGTGACTCAGGAAAATGCCTACCATTTGAGAACCACAACAGATAGAGAGGTCGGCCTTGCGTAGAATTGTAGAGACTACTTTGGACTATCTAGCCACTATGTTTTAATTAAAAATGGTTCAGAATCTGGCAACCTCATCGCTTTTTATCAGTCAGGTACCCCACCTGAACAACCGAGATTTTTTGTGAACAATATATGTGACGAAAGAGTAAAGCCTTCTCTATAAAGTACTGAAAACCCGAACTCTCTTTTTCTTTTCGTTCTCGAGTTATCCAAAAAATCCATGGCAGCTCTATACAGAAATCCACAGTAGAAACTGCGTTTACCTAAAACCGAGTATAAATAACTGTTTATCGGTAAAATTTTGAAAAGACAAATACATAGATTTCTAGCGCCTAGAAATCTTTCTCGAATGACGTATTACTTTATCGTTTCCAATAAACTGTTAATTTGCAAATAAAAGTGTAAGGCACCAGAATGATAGTAATTAGTATTCATTAACATTGATTAATTATAAATTATTATCTTAAAAAACATTTTTCATTACACCATAACAACAGACCATTGGCTGTCAAGCAATACATGAATGACTTTTCTAGGCTTATTTTTCACTGAGCTACAAGTTTTTAAAATGGGAACTAGGGCCTTAAATTTTAATCAAAATTTAGACTTAAGTAATTAATAACTCTGTGAATAGTAACCAGTTCATCGAAAAAACTGAAGGATATATGAGGATCTAATCAGGTGTCCTCTTCAAATTGATATAGTTTGAGGGCACATTTTTTTGGGGGGGAGGGGGGATCCTCCTCTTAAAGTAAAGATAGAGAAGCGTTTATTTTATTATTTTTATTTAACCACTCGGACCACTAAATCATCTTCATGTAAAACTTGTTTCATTAGTAATATTGTTGTATATTGTTATAACATATTGTTGCTAGTGTATATTCGAAAACAACGGACACAAAAGAAAAATATCGATACTCATTTTTTTGTCATACCAGTGATAAATAACTATCTTTATTTTAACATTTATTCCTATTGTTTTTTTGCCTCCTTCATGAATAATGATTCTTCATTATATCTACTACAATGCCTCAGTGACATATTCAGTTTTCTTATAATATTTATCGTAGTTAACAATCAAATTCATTCTTTAATTTATATCAGCAACCTTCAGCAATACTCTGTGACTTACCATATGAAAATTCTCCATACTATAATAATAACTACCTGATTCCTATAATAATAGGGCTACTGTTCTCTCTTCTTTCAAGAGACCTTAGCTCTCATTTAATGTTTGTTGAAAGACGATTAATTGAAATAAACAAATTTTAGAGCAATTATCCGTCTCTAACACTATCGCACTATCCATGTATCCATACTTTCGACAGAAATGATTTGTCTTCTCTTCGTTACATTATCACTCTAGAATGACTTTGGTTTCTTAAATTCTGACATATTTATTCGTCTATAGTATATATTAATAATATTCGACTACTTTCTTTTTCGAATATTTTTTGTGAAAAAATATATCAAGTATATAAAAAGAAGCAAAAAATATTATTGTTAAATAAAAAACAGTTACCTACATTTAGGTTTTCTGTCTGTATTATCATGAAACTATGTCACTGTTTGATAGAAACAAATGAATGGTACTTTTAGTAATTCAATGATGGAACTCTTATTGTTTAAAGAATATATAATGTGAACGAATAAAGTTTAAAAGGCGGCTATTACGACTTACCTATCTAACGTCGATCGATTCATAACGAATCATTCACTTTTATATTCAGCTATTTTTTATTTCCACATACTCTAAAAATTTCCTTCTAGATTCAAAAGACACAAAATCTAATTCTCTATAACTGGTGTATTTCTTTTTTTACGATATGGTCAAAATTAACAGAATGGTAAATGGAATACGAAAAACTTTGATTTCTCAAACCGCATAGAAGAATTCTAATATCTTTTCTCACGTTACCAGAAATTTAACTCAAAAAACTTATTTTTCTAGCAAAAGATACAGAACATAACTCTTTGTTGCTAATTCCATTTTTTCAGGTTTTGTGTGTAAGAGCAAAAAAATGAATTTTCGTTAGAAAAACTTTTTTTTAAACTTCTACAATATTTCACTGTCGCCCAACGGACATTTTTTTGTGCCAAAATATGCAGAATTGCAAGTTCTATTTTCTTTACCATTCTGTTTCCAATTTCTTACTCGTTTGTTTAACATTTTAATGTTAGAAGATTATTGAGAAACAGTTCATGAATAACGAACAATGTAAAAATTAACAATTTATATCACTATTTATGAAAAATAACCTGTTTTGAATAGAAAGTAATAACTTTTGATCTGACAAATGAATAATTTAGTTGTAAAAATACAGATACCGTTTTAAGCTAGTTAAATGGATTTACCGTATTTCGATAAATTCCTTCTTTGGTTAAAAAATAAATAAATTCATCTTTCGATACTTTTCCATCATTTGAGGTGTCTAATTTTTTCATCAAGTCTTTAGCTACTGCCTCTGGTGGATAATCTTTAATATGTTTTATTCCCATCAATGTATACATGGCATTCAACACCGGGCATATTTCATCTAGATAACGAAACAGAAAACCTTATTAATTAGAGATATATTTCAATTTTATCTTACCTAACGTAATGTATCCATTAGAATCGAGATCATAACATTCAAATGCATAGTCGAGACGTGACTTCAAATCTCCTCTACTACATATTGCAAAGCCAAGTAAAAATTCACCAAATTCCACAAACCCATTTCCATCGACATCGAACGCTCGAAAAACATGATCACATATATTTTCCAAACGTTCTGGACTCTCGTCTCTTAGTAGCTGATAAAATTTTCGAAATTGAAAACGGTCTAATCTTCCATCAGGATTATCCTGGAAAAACTTCAAATGCCAATCGTAAATTTCTTCTCTTGAGAGTCCTAAATACACAATGACCAACTAATTTGAAAAATGTTGATAGAGAAACTACTGGATGCTGTTCAAACAAGAATCAAAATAAAATCGTTTGAATTTGTAAATATTCGTCGTAATTGAGAGCTTTGGGGGTCGTATCACAAAAAAACTTAAACTTTGACTTAAGTTTTTTGGTGATATGACCCCTGTACATTCAAAAGGAACGCTCTACATTTTAAAAGTAACACTTTTCACAGGGTGATAAAGCTATAAATCGATTTACCTGTCTGAGAACTCAAAAATGCAACGTCTCGTTCGGATAAATAAGTTCGATGTTGAGGATCTATATCTATATTGACGGTACGTCTTTTTTCCAATTTGCTTTTATGTGTGCCCATATTTAAATTAATTTAATGAATGAGAGACGTCAAATCTTCCACTGAATAAAATTGTTTTGCAATTCACGTTTATATCGCGTGTAGATCTTACAATTTGTAACTAATAATTGCACGATGTGTTACCTATATTCGTCTCTAAAAACAAAACAAGATTTTTTTTTCATTGTCATATTATAGTATATTTATATATCTTCAGAAGGATGTATGTGTATTTCTAAACCACTTTGTTCTATATACATTTTTTTTCTTGCTTCTTTAGGAGCTCAAATGACAAACTGTCATTGAGGTAAGCGACGAAGAAAAGGTGACAAACAACATTATGTATTGATAAAAAATGTTTTTTCGTTATTTTATTACAGGATACATATACACATTTAGAGTGGGCAATTATTATTTTTATTTGCAGTGTTGGACGTACAAGTTCTTTAGAATTTGACACTGCTATCAAATTTTCAATGGGCATACATATTACCGAAAAATGATTCAGACTTGATTCATGAAGACAAGAAAGATATCTATCTCAACAGTAATAATATTTGCGTTATCTTCTTCAAAAATATGTAAAAATGACAAATTTTTGACGGTTGTACTACTATAATCCGATTTGATTTGGTAGGACCCCTACAAATGAAGATGTCGCCGAGTCAAATGTCGATTAGTCATCAAGAGACAGGTTTTACAACCAATCTTCATCTGACTCAAAAATACCTTGACGATGAGCCGATAGAATTATTTCGTCGAAAATTATGATGTCAACCTAATCTAATACTTTAAATTAATAATTACTATGTATTTTCCTCAGTTGTCTTTGATGGCAATGACTATCTATGTTTTTACCTTAATGTACTCTTCTTCTCAATAATATAACAACATTTTATCATCAATAATATTATTTTTTACTAAACTATTTCGTAATTAAATCATCGGATCAACAGTTACCGACAATCATTCCAGATCGTTATCAATTTTTGTTATATATTAGCATATTTCTTGTTATGGTTGATATTATAATTAACACATTTAGTGAATTTCTTTCAGAAAATATATTCGGTCTTCTCATTCTGTTCATGTAAGTATTACTTGGTTTTTGCTACACAATATAATTCTCCTGGACATCCTGAATCAAGAATATTTTCTGAACTTTCCAAATCATCATACTATCAAGTAGTGTTATACAAGCATTACTACTCTAACCCTTCTGCACAAACCAAAGTATAATTACTCGATATATCGACGTTCTTGTCTTTCTAGCGTTCAAGACGTTTGTATTGTATTGTCAGTTACATTATTGATTATTATGGTGCTAACAACATATATTGTTTAAGCTGTGTTACTCCGTCGATTATGGAGAATGTTTTGTCTTTTGCTTGTTGTGGCATTCTTTTATTTATGTTTGTGATGCCACTGTACAAGCATTACTTTTAGTAAGTCGTTGATTTCTTCACATATATCATCTGTAATGATAACTAGTTCATTCTCACAAATAGGTTTATCGATTCTTGAACACTAGCGCTTTTCGTCGACAAGAAGTTATTGCTTTCTATATAATTCAAAGTATGTGTAAGCATATCTTAACTTTTCAACTTATATAAGAGTCAGTAGGTTTAGAGGAAGACATATCTCCCTGGCCAGAAATAGTTAGACTCGGTACGTGAAAGTGTCTATCACCCTGTGCTTTCCCAAGCCATGATTGGCTATTATTTGATTACAATTGGCATGATTTATATATCCACGTATAACGTTCTGAGGAATTGCGTTTCATGCTTGCTGAACTAAACGTTCTAAACGCTGTTTATGCAACAGCTCGATGGAACAATATCATCTTCAGTGATGAAAAAGCCTTTGAAGTTGACGTTTCTGGTTTAGTTTACTGGATTCCGCATGGTCGGTCGTCCACGACCAACACATTTCCAAAGTCAAATTTAGTTTTGCATCGCAGTGTTTGGTGCAGTCTAGTATAATGGTCGATCAAACTCAGTATTTATTCGTGGTCGAACTAACACTACAACGTACATTCAACATTTGCAAGCTGCATTGACTACACATCTACGTCGTCTAAGAGGATATGATTTAATACATGGTCGTCCCACATGGGCGCACACAGCATTAGCACATGATTGGTTACTAAGTAACGGTATCAGATGCGTAGATAACTATCCCGGTGTTAGTCCTGATCTCAACGCTATTGAGAGTGTTTGGTCTTGGATGAATCGATACGTGCAGAGAAACCATTCAAACTCTCAACAGTGTTTAGAACGTTTAGTTCAGCAAGCATGAAACGCAATTCCTCAGTTCCGCAATTCCTTCCGTTATACGTGGATATATAAATCATGTGCCAAATATTTGTAATCAAATAATAGCCAATCATGGCTGGGAAAGCACAAGGTGATAAACGCTTTCACGTACTTAGAGATTACACACTTAGTTTTCTAATAACTTGTTCGTATATTAAAAATAAATTTGAAAAGATGAATGAAAAAGAGAAAAAAATATCTTCCTGGGGAATCTGATGATGAGGGTGTCTTTGTTGTGCTTGAATTTTTTTTCCGAGAACAAACGCAATTCAAAAGATGTTTATACAGATTTGTAGAGAATTTCACGGGCTATCCGAATCTATAATTACTTTTTCCAAAATGTTGATTTATAGTGATAATTTATTCGAAATATCGAGTCTAACTATTTCTGGCCAGGGGGATATATAGGCAAAGTACATACATATTTTGGCATTTAATGAGAAACGTGAGACAAAAAACTTCAGTTTAGCTGAAGAATAAAATCGCTCGAATGAGCAGACAAAAAGCTCTTTGCAGATATCTTTCCGATTGATATTAATTTCATTTCTCTTACTCTACTTCACTTTTTTCTGTTTAGTTTCTGTATTTTACTATTATGGTATGAAACGAGCGGTGTATCGCGTGTCAGATCCATATTTCTATGAGTTATGACGTAGGCGACAAAATTTATGGAAAATTCGGCGTACAGCCGCAACAGGAGCCACGATGAATGCAGCACAAACAACTAGGTGCCAATGTTGTTCGGTTCAGTAGCAAAAAGTCAATAACGACATTGACAATAATACTATTTTTTATTACTTTTTCACTTGTTAATTTTTAGCAAATATTTGTTTTTTCCGTCCATTTTACTTATTGTTCCTTTTTTTGTTAGATTCATGTTTGCACATGTAATTATTTTTTTTAAATAATTATTTTGCTTTTTTACTTTAATAAAATTTGTGATAGTACCTTTGCAATAGTTCTTCAGATTTCTTTAATACATTAGAGAAATGCATTTGGGAGAAGTTACTTTTGTTATCTAGATTTGAAAACATGCCGTTTTCATCATTTCGTCTCGATTATTTTACTCATAATAATAGTCATAAATGTGTTATTCATACGATAAAACGTTGGTATCGACAACCACAGAGATCAACCGGACCAAAATGTAAGTAGAAAATGGTTATTTTTCTGCTCTTCAAGAAGAATAGCCTACATAATTTTCATTTTTCTTCTTCTTTCGATAGCACAAGAAGGAGAATTTCGTGTAATTCAGTTAACTCCAACTAAAACTCAACGTCAATTACGAAAAAAATTCATTCTAAAAGAGGTAATGTCTGCTATTATTCTCTTAATCTAAAAATAGTTTTAATAATATTAAATTTAATTTCAGACATTACCACCACGATATTTACGAATGTCTGTTGATCAAGACTGGACAAATATTTGGCCAACGAATCAAACATTTAAATATAGCGTTGTACCATTGCCAATAACACAAGGTTTAATTCGAACGAATAAAGAAAATAAGGGTATGCTTTACATTCTTATCATAGTCATTTTTTCTAGACTCTTACAGTCTCGAACATTTTAGGTATGCCACTCGAAAAATATGCAAATGCTGAATTAATGAAAATACCAAATTTTTTTCACTTAACACCCAATCATATTAAAAAGCATTGTGCAGCAATGAAAAGTAAATATTTGATTGATTAATTACTAGATAAATGGTCTATTGTTATTTTTGTTTTTTTATAGAATTTTGTACACAATGGCCAGATGAGTTGAAAACAGATGAAGATTGTCAATATTATTTTCCCGTTGAAGTAACAACAAATGACTACTTGTATTCTGGACCATCTTTACGTGATTCACGTGCTCGCGTTGTACAATTTAAAGTAATGTAATCTACACATTATTTTGTTTTATTAAACATATGTTCATTTCTTTTCCTTCTTGTCCAGTTTAAATTATCAACGTTAGAACTCGATGAACACGCTCGCGACAAATTTCTTCGTTTAGCCGGACAACTTCATAATAAAAAAACAGATGAAATCACATTAATTGCCGATAAGTACGTACATAAATAGAGTAATATTTTTACTGTATTCTGTTCAACATAAAATCTCTTAATGTCATAGATGTCCATATAGAAAACAAAACTATGATTATGCACAATATTTACTAACAGCACTATTTTTTGAATCTTGGGTAAAATTGAAAATGACTACTTAATTTCTAAAATATATCTACAACATTTTATCTTTGTTTTAGAAAATTGAAGATTGGGAAAGTGAAAAAACAAAAGCGGACTGGGAACGATATTTCTGGGAGAAAAGTCCCTCAAGAACACGCTTATTAAGTGTGTTAAAAGCACATGAAACAAAATCGAAAACAGATCAAGTACGTTACAGGCCAGGAGAGAAATTTAACTTTTTCCGTCTTTTTAAAACGAAGCATATTGTTCTCATTTTTCTTTTATCGTTTACTGTGCGGGATCGATACAAAGAAACTGTATCTATTATTGGAATTTTTTTTAGGAACAGTCTACAATCGATTCATCGGTATTGCTAGAAAAATATTCATCATTAGCTGATGAGTATCGTGAAAATGTAGTGAAGATTCATGACGAGGGATTAGAAAACGAAGATAAAAATGTGAATGAATATAAACAAAATGTATTGAAATTGTATAACTTAAAACTCTAATGTTTAATATATTTTTTGT